CAACAGCCAACATCATACAATGGACAAAAACTGAAAGCTTTCAACTAAAATCAGGAACAAGACGAAGATGTTCACTATGGCCACTCCTATTCAGTATAGTTCTACAAGCATTAGCCAGAGCAATTAGACAAGAGGGAGAAATAAAGATAGTAAAGGAAGAAGTGAAATTGTCCTTATTCACAGATGATAGGATAGTCTATGCAGAAGAGTAGAAGACCCCAAGAACTTCACCAAAAGACTTCTCGATATAAGAACCAAATTCAGAAGCATAGCAGGATACAAAGTCAATACTCAAAAATCAATAGCATTCCTGTATACAAACAAAAAGAGAGGTAAATTAGAGAAACTACGCCCTTCACAATAACATTAACATAAAATGAAATACAAATCAATCTAACAAAGGACATAAAAGATCTATTCAGGGAAAACTATAGTACTCTGAAAAAAAATCAAAGAGAATGAAAGATACGAATGATAGAAAATGAAAGATATTCCTTGCTCACGAATAGGAAGAACCAACACTGTTAAAATGGCCACAATTCTAAAACTGTTATATAGATTTAATGCAATCCCAATCAGAATACCATTAGCATACCTCTCAGATCTAGAGAAAACATTCCTAAAATTCATCTGGAACCAGAACAGAGCCAGAATAGCAAAGGCAATCCTGGGCAACAAAGGCAGGGCAGAAGGCATCACAATCTGTGATTTGAAATTATATTCAAAGTTACTGTGATAAAAATCAGCATGGTACTGGCAACAGCAACAACAACAAAAAAACAGACCTGAGGATCAATGGAACAGATCAGAAGATGCAGGCACCACTATAAAGACACTCAGCCACCCAATCTTTGACAAAGGGGCCAAACATGTTCACTGGAACAAAGATAGTCTCTTTAATAAATGGTGCTGGAAAAACTGGCTTTCCACATGTTGAAGACTAAAATTAGACCCACGCCTATCACTATGCACTAAACTAAAGTCAAAATGGATCAAAGATCTAAATATTAAAACAGAAACATTGAATCTATAAGAAGAGAAAGTAGGTAGGTATCTTGAAGATGTGGGAGCAGGCAGTGAGTTCATGAACAAAACCAAAGCACATGGGAAATACTTCGAAGAATCAACAAGTATGATCTCATGTTATTAAACAATTTTTGCACTTCAAAAGTAATCACCAACAGAGTGAAAAGAAAACTCACAAATTTGAAAAATGTTTTAGCTAACTGTTCCTCAAAAGGGACTTCTATCTAGAATATATGAAAAATTAAAAGAAATGAGGCCTCCCAAATTAAAAAACCCAATCCAAAAACAGGCATCTGAGATGAATATACACTCCTTAAATGAAGAAATACAAATCACAAATGAATATATGAAAAAAATGTTCAATCATCAGTCATTTGAGAAATGCAAGTTAGAACAACACTGAGATTCTACCTCACCCTAGAAAGCATAGCTATGGTAAAAAAAAAAAAAATCATCCCATAACAAATGATGGTGGGATACGGGGAAAATAGAACCCTTCTCTGTTGGTGCAAGTGTGGACTGGTAGGTACAACCACTGTGGAAATCAGTGTGGAGATTCCTTAAAAAACGGATTAGAGGTTCCATTCAACCCAGGTATTCCCCTTCTGTGTATTTTTCCAGAAGAACTGAAAACATCATACCTTAGCAATACATGTACATCTGTGCTTATAGCAGCACAATTTGTAACAGCCAAATCTTGGAAACAACTAAAGCCCATCAAGTAAGGAATAGATAAAATAGATGTGGTATTTTTATAAATGGAGTATTACTCAGCTATAAAGAAATGTAAAGTTGAGGCTTTTATAGAAAAATGGATGCAACTTGAGACCACATTAATTAGTGAAATCAGACTCATGTGTAAACATCATATTGTCTCCCTAGTGTAAGAAACTGAAAGAGTACATAAGATCCAAAAGGTACAGTAGATATTGGGAAAGGGAAAGAAACTTCTCAAAGGGAAATGACAACTGGGATGGGGAAAATGAGAAAAGAGGAAGGGATATATACACATATGCACATGTATATGCACAAGAAAGTTAAGATATTGTCTTACTCATTCTCTTAGTTCATTGAAAGGAACAGTTAGTGCTTATATTGTCTGATCAATTTTGCATGCCTGTATTTGGTAATCTGAGCAAATATTTTGAAGACAACGGTATGCTATATAGTAATCACTTAATTTCCTGTCATTTTGTTTTCAAATTCAGTATCATTTTTAATTCTCCTTAAAATAAAAATATAACTATCTTAAAAGTATGCATTATTTCTATAATGTCTGATAAAATATATTTATATTATACATATCTGACATATTTCAGATATTGAAGCTCTCATGAGGTTGTTTTGCCTCAATGTCCAAATTATATAAAGTCTGTACCTTTTCATGCAGAAAGCAGTGATGTGAAGCATGGTCTTATGAGACCTGTTGATACATATGATACAGGCAGAGCAGCTGTGTTAATGGGCTAGAAAAATTTATCATGGCATGCTGTTTTTTTGTTTGTTTCGGTTTTTTATGTTGTTTTGGACACAAGGTCTTGCATGTAGTTCAGGCAGGCCTCAGATTCACTATGTAGCCCAGGTTGGCCTTGAACTTGTGGCAATCCTCCTACCTCGGCCTCCCTAGTCCTGGGATTACAGGCATGTGCCCAGCAAGTGCATGCTTCATAGTGGGCTCTCTTCTAAGGACTATTTGCTTCTAACAGTTCCTCAGGTGATAATAAACTGATTCATTTAGAGCTAAATTCTTAGATATAAACAAACTCTTCGGAAGCAATGTTACATTTGAAACTTTTTGATATACAGAAATGTCTCATATCATATGTCTTGTATATTTTCTCAAGGATTTTATATTCCAAACCACAGAAAGCAATTAAAGAATTAGTTATTCTGTTATTCTTGGCTAATTGTTTTCTGTTTAATTTTTGTCTTATGCTCCTATTTTAAAATTTTGTCTCATACTCCTACTAACCATAAGATTAATAAGATCCTTTATTACACAGTTTACATATTTTCTATCCTCCAAAGTATTTCCTGAAGAGGTGTACAGGGAAATGGCTCTATTAATGCCACTGGCATTTCCAATAATTTTTACAGGGTCAAGCAGGTCTGTGGTCCTGGGATATTTTATTGGTAGTATTTTAGTTTCCCTGCTCCCTTGCAATGACCTGCAGATGTACCAAGAATGAGCCAAAACTGTGCCTTCAAAATACAGCTTCCAGCAACATTCAGGTGTGTGATCATTGTAACTTTGAAGAATTCATGGAAACTTCTAAGATGTGAGGAAAGGGCATATGAGGAAATACAGGAATAGCTGCTTTATTGATTTATTAAAGATCACATCTGGATTGCACTGTTTTGCAGTGATCACTGATGAGCACTTTCCAGATCACTGTTGTATCATAAGATGTCCTGAGTTTTCTGAATCATTTTCATCCCTCTCTTTTTCTGACATGTGAGGGATCAATACTCCCTGCACTGAGCTGATGTGATGATGCATCGGTGGCTGCTGTCTATTATTTTAAAGATTATTGGACAGCATACATTCATAAGGAAAGCAGATCAGTTTAACTGAACTATTTTGGTAATATGATGTCTAACACAGACATTCCTCATTTAACAGTCTACCTGATACAATGGTTTGCACTTATGATCAAGGCATGCTATTTGGACTTAAGGATCCATCTTTTTTTAGTACAGTTTTGTACACCTGTTTACAGAGCCTCAATGGTTTTTTTTGTACAGTATAGTTTATACAGTACTGTAATTTTTGCTGATTGCACTGTATAATACAGTAATATAGTTTTAAGCTGTTTTACTTTATAGTGCTGCACATAAGAGTTATCAAGTTGGAGTTTCCTTTGACCATTTCTTTGTTCTGAATCCTGTAATGTACATACTGTATGCAATTACTCATTTAGTGGCCAATTAATGTAATAGTTAATTTAATGATGTAGCTGCAGAGTCTGACCTTGGTCATTAAAAGAAGAGTGTGTATTCCAGAGCCACAGTATTGTTTAAAAATCACATTCCAGGAGTGTTTTCTGGAAGCCACCATTTCCAAATTGCTGCCAGCAGTATGCTTTTTACTGTTGGCTGTTCCTCTATGGAATTTAATAAATATTCATCTGCAGAGCACAGCATAATTCATTCAGCCACTTTTCATTTTTATCAGCTCCACAGGAGGCTTTAGACTTTGCTGGGAACCTCTGGAGTCACCAGAGGTTGACAATAAGAAGCTTTTGTGGGTTCTTTGAGGGGTAGGGGAAGAGAAAACAGAGTTGACATCTGCTATCGTAAGCCACTTTTCGAACCTTATCAGGAGTCGCACAGCACTGTGAGCGTCCTCAGGGTGCAGGTTTTGGGGTATTCAGTGATAAGCTATACAAGACCCAATATATTTTTAAATGAGCGGTTAGGAATCAAGTTAATTCATGGCAATTTATCAGACAGAAATCATTTAATATGTCAAGTTAATTCTTAGAGACTTTAAATTTGGCTGCGTGTTTTAGCACTTATTTTCAAATCATCCGTCAGCATGAATTTTGCAGGCTTTGAAAGAGAAAAAAATGATTTCAATTATTTTCCAACCTTCAAAGGACATACCTGCAAAATAATAATTTAAAAATAATACATTTTGTAAAGTTATGTATAATGACAATACCACCTTTTCCATATAAAGTATGTGCTCAGCTATTCTATATGTCTTTTGGAAACATACATACAGCCAGCATAAACATGTATTTCCAGCAACTTATTTATCCACAGTTGAAATTTTCTTCTAGTTTTCTAAAATGCCAGTCAAAACATCTTTCTACCTGGGCTGCCTGAACCATGAGATACCTTGCCAATGAGTTTACAAACGCTGCCTAAGAGAGACAGTGCTTCTGGCATTCGGACTCGCATGTTTCTACAGTTTTTCTTATAAATTTACATTTGGCTTCGCTGAGATCCTGGCTTGTTGTTCTACTTACTGGAATGCCTGTGAAAGTGACTGGGGGAGACTGCCAAGAAATGCTGAAGCTGCTGCCGTTGGGAGTGAACTTGGCCGATCCCGGAATGGTCACAGGGGGTGTGGCCTGTTAGGAGGAGACAGAGAAAGCTGTCATGAAGGAGCGGTTCTCCTCGGAGCCATAAGCTGTCACTACCTAGTAGAGGCTCAGGAATGGCAGATGTATTGCTTAGACTAATTAATAGGTGGAGATTAAACAGTCAAAGGGAGTTGATAGAAAGTTTCTCTGTCTTTTCAAGCAATCTAAAGATGACTTCTGACTATTAATTTTTGACAAGAAACTTTATTTTACATACATAAGCTTATTTAGGAAACTTATAAATATTCTTCACTGTCAAACTGGGAAATATAAACTTGGAGCATAAACTGGAAAATGATGGATGTGAAAATTGGTAATCTTGGGAGTGTAATTTAGAAATATACATAAAAATTCTTAGCATTCTGTGAATTGGCTAGTCTCCTTCTAAGAATTCACTCTCAGGAAAAGAGTATGAGGATGTTTATTGCAGAACCAGATGGTAGATATTAAAAACTGAAAACAACAGGAATGTCCAGTAATAGGGAAAAAGGTAAAAGTATCTTCTATGACAAACCCAAGGAGTTATTACAATGTTATTAAAAGAGACTCACTGGTGTGGGGAAATGTTCATGATAGATTTAGTAGGGGAGGAAAAGGAAAGTAAAAATGGTACTGAAATAGATTTCTTCTTTTTAAAATGTGTATTTATAGATACATAGAACAAAGTATTAAAGGAAATACAAAAAATGTTAACCAAGGGACTCTCTGGTTATTGGGACTAGAAATGAGTTTTCCTTTCTTGAAATGTGTTTAGTACTTTCTATGCTGAATATTTATAAAATATAGAAAAAAGTCATAATATTATGGGAGACAAGTTTTGGCAAGAACCTTCTAGATCACACTGTGTTCCAACTCTTCGTTATACAGATAAGCAAAATGATTTAACTTTGTTCAAGGCCATGATTTCTGACACGGGCGAGTAATACTAACAAGAAGAGATAAATGGATTATTCTTTTTGACTAAGATAGTCAAATTCAGGAATGAAATTTATTACATCAGGCAATTTAACCATTAGTTCTACCGCACTGTTCTTGAGTTCAAGTCAGCTAAGTGGGTGGCTGAATTCTTCTTTTACAGGCTTCGTTTTTCTAGATACAAATTTATTGGGCAGTGACAGTAATTTGGTAAATGGTACCAGTGGAAAGTATTTTGGAAATACATAGCAAGATCCATGAGATATTCACTCATGTTCCAACTGTCATAATAATTACTCTTCTGAGAATTTAAAGAAAAAAAAGAGTTAGAGGCAGGGAGATGTTCATAGTAGATTAACAACAGAGAACAAACAGGATAGACCCAAAACCAGACAACTAATAATCAAGAATGATTAAAAGAATTTGGTGTTTCAATTTAGTTGGCTACAACTTGGCCACATAAAAGCTTTTATAAAATAGGGATGAAAGAACATAATTCAAGTATATAAAGCAGATTGGAAAAAACTTGGAAAGACAGCTGAGAATGACAGAGGGGAAAGGAGCTTTAACCATGTCCTGCATCAGATTCCGGCGCAGCTCTGGGGCGGGGACCCCATGAATTTCCGTTTCTCACAAATTCCAGGTGATGCTGACACTATCCAGTGGGGAGTCACTAAAGACCACAAGAAAGTTAGTCACCCATTTAAAGGTGGGGTAGAACTAGTTAGTAGATTTGGAGTGCAGGGGGTTCTCTCGTGGTGCCAAAGTTTTCCAAGGTACATCTCATCATTTATTTGATTTTGAATTTAACAGATACAATGTGCCATGCACCATTCTGAATGCTTTAAAACATTAGGGATTTTAATCCTTCTCACAGTCTCTCAGGGTCCAGACCTACAGCCAGCACGGGGGAATCTGAGACTAATCCATATGGCTCATCTGTGTGAGATCTTGGTTTTCCCAGGAGAAAGGAAAAAACAAACCCAGCTACTGAGATGCGGCATGTGATGCTGTCTTTCCACTGAATTATCTTTTACTCCCAGGCCACGTGGCCTTGGCTTTCGGGCAGGTTGGAGTGACTGCTCTGCCCTTCCCTGCAAGTCACCTGGTACGCGTGGTCCGTGTGCACGAGGTAGAGGGTGGTGGGGGCTGAGCGGCTCAACGGCGTCATCAGTTTAGTGTCAGTTTTGGCACAAGGAGTTTCTGTTCGGCTTGAATCGGGGATGGGGAAAGTCGGAGGGGAAGCCAGGGACTGGGAGGGTGAAACTGGAGCCAGGCTGCTCAGTCCTTCTGCCACTGAGTCCGTGTTGAGCTTGATCTCGGTGTAGTAGAAGTCCTCTTCCCCATCACTGTAGTCAGAGTCCCCAACACGCCTAATGAAGAAGAAGGCAAAAAACAAGCCTGCTAAGCCAGTCTGATCTCTCGCAAACTTGCACCTGCTGTCCGTTCTGTCCTTCTCTTGTCTGCCTGGCCCTCTCTTGCTTTTCCTGCAACAACACTCTACAATCTACTTCTAGGGAAGTCTTCCTCTACCTCTACTATGGTTTGAATGTGTCCCCAAAAGGTCATTTAACCCCGAAGCCAGACATGGTAGCTTATGCCTGGAAAGTCAGCAGTCTGTGAGGATGAGGCAAGAGTATTGCAAGTTCAAGTTCAACTTAGGCAATTTAGTGAAACTTTGGTTTACAACAGGAAATAAGAGGGGCTGGAGATTTAACTCAGTGATAGGATGCACCTCAACACCAAAAATTAAAAGACAGAAAAAGAAAAAGAAAAAAAGTAAGGGATGAAGACATAGTTCAGCATGAGGCCATGATTTAATCTCCAGCATTTTATCGCCACAAACAAATAGACAAAACAAAACAAACAAAAACAGGCAAAACCCAACCAGAATGTTACCCCCAAATTTGTATGTTAATGATATTCAGACTTAGGGTGTTTGGGAGACTATTAGGATTCAATAAAGGCGGTGAACTCCTTGATGGCATTAGTGGCTTTCTACGGAAGAGGAGTTACTGGAGACCAGGCTGTACAGAGTTAAGGTGCTGAACACAGGGACCTCTGGCTGTGTTGGCAGAGAGCCTGTGCACAGTGCTTGGAAGCCAAGATGCCATCAGGAGAGGCAGCCGAGGAGGCGAGTTGCTGCCACTCCCTATTCCAGAGTGATAACACTGCCAACCTTAGAGATAAGATAGTTCTATTAGCGAAATTTACTGCTCGTTAAAGTCTTTAAACTGGCACCCAAGGTCCTCTTCAGTTCCTGCCTTGCCTCAGTATCCCCTTCCTTTATTTGAAAATGGGCTGCCTGGTGGAGCTCTGCTTTTATTGTGAGAGAGTTCTGACTTTCCTGGATGCTCCAAAAACCACACTGGTCTCTTTGATTTAAGTCATTTGCCATATTAGTCACTTTCTCATCACTGGGACACAATTCCCTGACACCTGCCACTTAACGGAGAAGTTTATTTTGGCTCATGGTTGCAGGCCATGGTTGGCTACTGCAAGGCAGAAGCAGCGGCAGAGTGGGCGGGCAGAGGGCAGCTGCACTTGTCATGGCAGCCAGGAAGCAGAGGGAAAGGAGACAGGGAGGGGATGTTCCCTTCTGGCAACAGCTGCAGAGGTCCACCTCCAACGGGGCCCCACCTCCCAGCAGCACACTGGGCTGCTCAGCACATTACTGGAGGAATCCTCTGAGGAGCAGAGTGTGTCCATGAGCCAACTGCCCTCCTAAAACTCTGGCTCTGAGTGCACAATGTCCCCACCCAACCAGTAAGTGACTGAGTCTCGCGCTGTGCTTAACTTACAGTGTTCCAGGAAGCTTGTCCCCGGAGGTGGCATTTAAGCAGATACTTACTGGATTGAAAAGAGGGCAAGACCACACTGGAACCCGTGGGAAGGACACGAGGCCTCAGGGGTCAGCCTGATGCTGGGAGGCAATGGCTACAGCTCAGGGATAGAAGACATGGCAAAGTTATGCAGGGCTTCACTGCCCACGCAGTGCCTTCAGCTTTTATTGTGGGTGGTTCTGAGGAATCTAAAGCATTTTTTAGAGAATTACTACTTTTTCTTTGTGGTACCGGGTATCAAACTCATGACCTCACATTACCAGGCAGGTGCTTATGCCATTGAGCTAAGTCCTCAGCCCTAAAGCAGTTTTGAAAGGACCTCTGTGGCTATGGTCTGGAAGGAACACAGGATTGGAGGGCACTCACATAAGCCAATGGCCCCAGAGGCGGCAGATGCTGCAAGTGATCCAGGCGGGCACTGACAGGGCAATGTTATGAGGAGGCAGAGTCTGAAGTACTGTGAGAAGGGTCAGAACTTAACTCCTGACTGGAGCCCTGGGTCCCCATACAGTGTCTTCATTGCTTAGGTTAACTACCTGTCACATTTCTGTGTTTTCTTTTAACCTTTCTGACATCTCACTATGACTCGCTAGGGTCATGCAGGTGTTGACTTCTGTGTCCCTCCATGCAGACAATGTCTGTTAAAGAGGACAGAGTAGGAACCTGGTAAACGCTGGCTGAATGAATCAAGCTGAGGATGCTGCCACGTGGGCACTGAGACTGCAGAGTCACAGGCTCAGATGCCAGCTAACACTTTCTACCTGTGGATGCCACGTGGGCAGCCCACCCACAGCTCCTGTGCCTCAGTTCATTTACAAAATGCAGCTAATGAGAATACTTACCTGATGTGAAGATGAAGGGGATAGTGTTCAGAAAGGCAGCTAACATGTAATTTGTACCATATGTACTTATTACATAAAAACAAAGACTATGATAGAAGCTCCCAGTTCTCATCACCAGCAAAGTATTTTCCAAGGCACTTAGAGAGTTCTGGGAGAGTTCTCCCTGAGTCAAGGAAAATTGCATTTCTCCAAAGCAAGTTTTAAGTAAAACAAAATAACTGCCCATTATCCGAGAAAACACTATTAGACTTGTTCTTTCTAGGGAGGTGGTGCGTGTATGGCTCCTGGGGCTGGCTGAGAGGCCATGGCACCCCGAATCTCATGGTCACATCCAGCAACAGCTGCAGATCATTGGCTCAGAACAAACTTGTCTCCCTCTTAAGGATCCCTGCAGAGAACCTAAAATACACTGCCCTCCACTGAGGCATCTGGGAAATGACTCTGTGCCGTAGCAGGTCTGGCTGAGCCGGACCTTCTGACCCACATACCATTGGAGACTCTAGAGAGCAGGATGAAGAATGGACATTTGTTCTATTCCTGTTTCCACTTTCTTTCCAGCCAAAGCTCAGCTGTACTGCAACTGGCTGCCAAGTGCTACTAATAGACACACAGACCTGGGAGAAATGGAGTCCTTCTGTGGGGATAAAGCAGTCTCAGCCCCTGGTATACAAGCACAGAGTGAGATTTACGAGAAACTCAGTGCACTTTTTACACTGGCATGGTATGTGCACTGCACTACATCGCATGAAGACATGTTTTCTTTGGGCAGTGACACACTTCTGTCCCTGCACCCACACACAGCCACCACCACTGAGAAGGACCCTTCAGCCTGTGGTCTCGTCACTGAGCTCATGGACTGAGAAAGGAGGGTGGTCTCTCTTACGCATAAAGGCTCAGCTTGGCCTGTGAGCCCTGTACATCCAGGCCCTTTCTTGGGCAGGGCTGTGAACCTCAGTATCCACCAAACGATTGTAAGCACACACACAGTAAAAGGTACCCTAGGGAAGTGAATCAAGTACTCGCATTTTGAATGCCACCCACTGTGACTGCACCTCCAGAGGTTAAGAGGAAAATCGCATGATGCCACTTTCAGTCTATAAATACACACATAGCACGTGCTTCTGAGATGGGCTGAGTAGGATGCAATTTTCCCGGCAGATGGATTTAAAACAAATATACCAGCTCCTGGCTTTAGATTTTTAGTCACAAATTTTTTAGTCAAATAAATTTTTAGTCAAAAATTTATTCTAAGCTTGTGCTTTGCTCTGAGCTGTTTATGTTATAAACTGCCCTACACTGAGACTTGAGGGGAGACTCCCCAGCATTTCCTTTCCAAAGGTGTGAGGGAGAGGAGTGCAGCAGAGGTGTCTGCACAGGAGTTTTTCAATGTGGCTTTTTATTTTCTGAGACCAGGTCTCATAAAGTGCCTAGCCTGGGCTCACAGTCCTGCCTCAGCTTCCTCAGTAGCTGGGACAAGGTGGCATTTCATGAACATGAAGGCAGGCCCTGTATCCAGGGGGACAGAAGCCCAGCCTTAGGGGTTTCTACCCCACTTGGGAAGGCACTGGCATGTCCCAAATACCAGCCTGTAGAGTGAGGACCCCAAACCCCTACTTCTCTCCACAGTCTCTAAACCTCACAGATTAGAAAAACTGCCCTAGGACCCACTTGCATTTTTGCATACAGTGCTTTCTATGAATTTCCTCAGTGTAACCCTTGTGTTCATTTTTCCACTTATCTTGTCCAAAGGAGTCCTCTGGGTCCCAGCACGTACAGTTGGTTGCATGTTGTGTTGACCTTGCACACACAGGTCACAACTCACAGCTTCTCGGGGCCGCTTTTACACCCCAGCTGCCTGAACGAGGCAGACTCGGGCAACAGCATGAGCTGCTGCCTGCTACCTGCACCTGCTGTGAGCTCCAGCTGCTGTGGTCCCCTGAGCTCCACTTCCACCTCCCTGATAAAGGCTCTTCCAGCATAAGAGGTGAAATGTAGACTTTACAGATAAAGAACTTATTTGGGTGACATCTTTTTCTCTTGTGGAATTAGGGAGTGAACCCTGGAGCCTCACACTGAGCAATCCTCACATCCCCTCCCTTCTGTTTTGGAGACAGAGTCTCCCTAAGTGGCTAAGTTGCCCAAGCTAGGTTCCAATTTGCAATCCTTCTGCCTCAGCTTCCTAGAGTGCTGAGATTACAGGTGTGTGCTACCATGCCTGGCTACCAAGAGGCATTTAACAGCAGTGTGGATTGGTGCAGTGATTCATTCTTAAACCCCTTTTAGGCAAGATATCCCTTTGAGACCCAAAGTCATGAGTACTCTCTACTGGAAAAAAAAATACACATTTCACAGACAAATTTACGGGGTTTAAGGACCCTCTGAATTGCAACCATGAATCCCAGATTAGGAGTTCCTATGCTAGTGTTTTATACTTCAGTAGCATCTCCTGCATGTTTGTTATTGACCTCACAAATGACCTGGTGGACCTGCCATCCCCAGTCGTTCCAGGGGGAGCTGGGGCCCAGAGCAGTGACTCACTTAACTTAACCCAGGAAATAGGGGGGAGGCTTTACCACGTTAAACCTTGTGCTTTTCTCTGTGACACACAACAGGCAGTGGCTACACAGAGATAAAGTCCAGCGCGTCGGAGGTACCATGTGAAGCATGGTCTCAGAGTTGGGGCCTCCAGAGCCCCGCGGCACTCTGCAGGGAGGGTGTTTTACCCGAGGTGGATGGTCCGGATGTGTTTCTGGATGCCTGCCGCGGTGCTCAGCACCTTGCCGCAGTTCTTCCAGAGGCATTTGAACATCACCTTCATGGAGTTCTAGGACAGGAGAGGAAGTTATGTTAGAGTGCAGATGAGCCCTTCAGCATTTGTCCTTTGTTATCCCAAGCTCACTTGCCTTCATTAGAAAAGCAGCAACTGCTCCGTGCTCTGACTATACCTCAGTACACCATTCTCAGAACTTCCTGGGCTGGCTGTGAGTAGCGTGGTGGCTTCAGATATTTTCTCCAGTTCTTTATGAGAAGAATTCTTTATGACTGACCTCTGCTGGAGTTTTTCAGGTCATCTCCACAAAGGTGGTCACAGTGGTTAATATCCACTGAGCACCAAGTGTTTATCTCGTTTAATGCTAAAAGGGGGGCTCTATTGTTAATCTCCATCCTACAGATGCTAAGAAAGCGTCAGTGAAAGGGCACCCAGGCAATGAGCCAGCTGCTGGCAGAGACGGAGAATGCTCTCCTGCAGTCTGGCTCCAGGTGCCGCCCTTCCCACCAGTGCATGATACCATGTTTTTCAAAAACAGTTCAGCACAGTTTGAGGGTACTATGTTAGACTTACCTCTCCAGTCCACCAAGTTCTTATTTATAAAGAATAATAATAGTACCTGCCCCATGGGTATATGAGGACCACACGAGGTCACGAGTGCATCAGGTAGCCGAGCGCCAACAGGAAGGATCTTTCAACTAACGACAGCCACCACGGCATTATGCCTGTGCTTCTGGGAATGAGTCTGACAGGGCATAAGCTGTATCCAGGGAGGTGGCTGATCACTGGGATGCCAGCACTTTGCAGACTGGTGCCACGGACTCAGTGACAGTCACTTTTCTGTGCTCATGAACCTCAGTTTCTCTTCCTCCCCGTACACAGTCAGATCTCATTTGCCAGCCACCCTTGTAGCCAAGAAGGCGTATGTGACTGAGTTAGGACTGATGGAGCAGGGTAGAAGGGATACACAGTCCTTTGAAGTCTCATCCTAAACTGTTGGGAGCCGCAGCCCCGAGCCCGGTCGCCTCACTTGGCGGACGTGAGGCCTGTAGTAAAGAGTGAGGCCTGAGGTAGATTACCCCTCCCATCGAATATGTTAGTTTCCTGCTTACCGCGTAAACAACCCGCTCAACAATATAGTCTGCCTGGCAACTGATGATGTTAGCCAATCAGCTTGCCTTGCTTACTTTAACATGATTGGACACTGTACCCGTATATATACCGGTGCCACCCCTGGGCGGAAGTAGAAGCCAGATAGAAGCCCGGAAGTAGAAGCCCAAAAGGAGCCGCGGAGAGCGGACCGGTAGAGGCTTTGGGGCAGACTGAAGCACAAAAGGAGCCGCGGGGAGCGGACCAGAGGAGGCTTCAGCTGGGAGAACCCAGGGCAGGCTGTACGGAGAAGGAAAATAAAAAGAAAAGGTTGTCCACTACCAGACTTTGTCGTGTGTCCTTCCTGCCGGCCGGGAGCGGACATCGACATTTGGAGGCCCGCCCGGGGACTGATCACCCCCGCGACGTGGAAGTGGACAACGCTCCAGTACAGAGCTGCGAGACAGGTGAGTTGGGGATAAGCCTGGGCTCTGGGTGGCGCGCACCTACAGGGCTTTTAGACTCCCCTCAGGCTCACGCGTAAGTGGCGGATTCCTTGGGCCTCACGCGGTGAGTAACATATTAAAAAATGGGAAACATGCTAGGTAGCGGCACTAAGAGCGAGGGTGGTTGTGGAGAAAGCTCTCAAGAGCTTACAAAAGTACGCAGGGTATCTGAGCAGGCCCAGTCAGGGAGCTCCCGAGAGGTGTCTGTCAAGGGGAACAAGGATGCTAAGGAGGAGGACGGGGCTCTAGCCTCGGAGTCGTCTGACTCCGAGGACGAGGGAAAGTTGAATGGCAGGGAGGCCAAAGAGACCAGCTGTCAGGAGCCTAAGTCGCTCAATAAGGAGTCGCAGGGTTCTTTTCCAGCGTCACGCCGCGAATTGCGCTCTGCTCAACCTGGTCTGCGGAGGAGTAGAGAGCTCCTGAGTGCGCCCCGGCGCGAGAGGGAGGCGGTCCCTCGCCGCGAGGCGGCCGCCTGGGAGCTCCCTCCCCTTTCGCCAGAACAGGAAGTGATGCACGGGCCCCCATTTTCCGCCCAATCACGGCCGCCGTCTTATGCTCCGCCGCCGGCGGGTCGGTATTTTTACAGGCGGCTTTGGCAGGGGGGACGCTTGTCTCATGAGGTACATCCACCTGGGATAGATAGTGGCCCCTACGAGATATTTCCTGTACAAGTAGCTATGGGCCAGGGACGCAATGTATGGGAGCCTTTTGAGATAAAGCAGATTAGAGAACTTAAAAATGCAGTTACAACCTTTGGGCCGACTGCGCCTTACACCATTGCCATGCTGGAGAATCTGTCTTCTGGGCCCCTCACCCCCGCGGACTGGATTCAGCTGGCAAAGGCCTGTCTGCCCTCGGGCAGTTACCTGGATTGGCGAGCCTGGTATGCAGAGTTCTCTGCCGAGCAGGCTGAGAAAAACGCCAATCGAGGAAACCGGGGGTGGAACAAGGAAATGCTTATGGGAGAAGGTCGGCACGCTGATGACCAGACCCAGTTCCCCGGCGCTGTCTATGAGCAAATCAATGCCATAGGACTCCGCGCCTGGAAGCAAGTAAGTGGTGCTGGAACAGCCTCCTTGTGTCTTTCAAAAATAATTCAGGGTACCACAGAGCCATTTGTTGACTTTGTGGCCCGAATGCAAGATGCTGCCGATAAGATATTTTCTGATCCGGGAGTGGCTCAACCGCTGGTAAGACAGCTGATTTTTGAGCAATGTACAAAGGAGTGCAAGGCAGCGATAGCTCCTCATAAGAACAAGGACCTCAATGCCTGGATTAGGATATGCAGAGAGATAGGGGGGCCGCTCTCCAACTCGGGAGTGGCTGCTCTCCTGGCCGCGGCTATACAGCAGAGGGGACCTCGCGGGTTAGAAGGGGAATGTAAGGCTAAAGGGTGTTTTGCCTGCGGGGAGCCAGGACACATTAAACGTCATTGCCCAAACAATGCAGATGCTAGGCCTCGCCCTAGGAATGAAGAACCATATGTTTGTGGGCGATGCAAGAAGGGATCACACAAAGCTGAGGAGTGTAGGTCGGTCTTTGATGCTCAGGGCAACCGTATTTGTGGACAAGATGCTAGAGAGCCAAAAAACGGCCAGAGGGGGCCCCCTTCACAGGCGGGCCCCCGCCCCAGAGACAGGACAGCTCAGGGTGGCAGCCTTCAACAAGGGCCACCCCTGGGTCAGCAGGTATGGACCTCAGTGTCGCCTCAGGACTTATATTAGTGCCTGATATGGGTGTTCAAGTGGTTGAAACAACTTTTAAGGGACCGTTACCCAAAAATTCCGTGGGTCTGGTGATCGGGAGATCCTCCACGGCCCTTCGGGGTCTCACAGTAGTCCCGGGGGTCATAGACTCAGACTACACAGGACATATTAAAATTATGGTTCAATCTCTTGTGGGTACTATGGTAATTAATAAAGGAGACAAGATAGCGCAGCTCTTGCTGCTCCCCAGTCTCCACAAGAGATTTCCCTCAAAGCAGAAAATTAGAGAAAGTCAAGGTTTCGGTTCCTCAGGGGAAGTCTTTGAGGGACTCCATATGACACTTGATAAAAGGCCCATGCTCTCACTTAAGGTCAATGGCAAGAATATAACAGGGCTCCTAGACACAGGAGCTGACCGTTCCATTATCTCCAGAAAGGATTGGCCTTCCAACTGGCCCACCAACACTGCAGATAACACGCTGCAGGGCCTGGGGATGATGTCAGCTCCTCAGGTTAGTGCTTCAACCCTGCTCTGGTGCGATGAGGAGGGTCATCAGGGCCATTTCCAACCGTTTGTGTTGCAGTTGCCAGTGTCTCTATGGGGAAGGGACATCCTCACTCAGATGGATGTCACGCTTACGTCAAACTGCTCCCCCCAGGCTAAGGATATACTCAGGAACCAGGGATATACCCCCGGCAAAGGCTTGGGCAATGCCCTGCAGGGTCGGACATCCCCAATACCAGTAGAGAACAAAAAAGGTAGGCAAGGATTGGGTTTTTCTTAGGGGCCGCTGAAGAAGCTCTCCTACCCACTTCGATCAAAATCACCTGGAAATCAAATGATCCGGTTTGGGTACCTCAGTGGCCCCTGCCTAAGGAGAAGCTATTAGCCTTGTCAGAAATAGTCAGTACACAACTCAGATTAGGACATATTAAGCCGTCAACCTCCCCATGGAACACCCCCATTTTTATAATTAAGAAAAAGTCTGGCAAGTGGAGGCTGCTCCATGATCTAAGGGCGGTCAACGCGCAGATGCAGTCCCTGGGGGCGGTCCAGAGGGGGCTGCCAGCTCTCTCAGCCATCCCTCAGTCCTGGCCAGTTTATGTTATAGACCTTAGAGACTGTTTCTTCTCAATTCCCCTGCACCCAGAGGACACTCATAGGTTTGCCTTTACTTTGCCCACCATTAACCAAGAAAGCCCTGATCTCAGATACGAGTGGGTAACGTTGCCCCAAGGCATGGCCAACAGTCCCACTATGTGTCAGATTTACCTTGATTCCCTACTGGCCCCCCTACGAAAATCCTTTCCCAAGATAAGATGTATGCATTACATGGACGACCTTTTGCTCAGCGGCAGGGACCCAGACATGCTAAATAATATGCTCAGCCAGTTGGTCGAGGCCCTGAGACAAGCTAATCTACATGTTGCCCCCGACAAGATTCAGGGAGGAGAAATGGTGACCTACTTAGGCGCGAGAATCTCCCCTATGCTAGTCTCTCCGCAGAAGGTCACCATTAGGACGGATGGCGTTAGGACCCTAAATGACATGCAAAAGCTATTGGGAGACATTAATTGGATTAGGCCATATTTACATATACCAAATTCAGATCTCAAACCCCTGTTCGACCTTCTGAAGGGAGACCCAGATATAGCCTCCCACAGGAGGCTCACTCCTGAGGCAAGAGCTGCCTTACAGAGAGTGGAGGAAGCCTTAGGTGGGGCTACCTTACACAGAATTGAACCGGGGCGA